ACCAGCTACGTGGAGCTCATCTCGACGGACGCGGAGGCCCGAGGGGACATACTGTGCCTCCTCCTCCTCCTCCTCCTCCTCCTCCTCCGCTGTGCCTCCTCGTCCGTCCGTCCGCTTCCGCCCTCCGCCTCTGGCTCCTCTGGGACCTCACGAGCCGCTCTGCGCACGCTCGGCCTCCGTGCCCTCACCCTTCCCGTTGTCATCCTGACTGTCTCCATGCTGCTTCTCTTCCCCTCCTCCCCAGTATTGCCCTTAGGAGCCCGCGAGTCATAGCCATGATCTTTTCTACGCGGCAGGCTGGTTTGAAGTATCATGCAATTCTCTTCGACCCATCCCGCCACCGTGCTAGGGTTGTTGGTCAGAGCTCTCGGGGATGCGTCTTGGGGTCTCTTCGGAGCGCTCTCGGGGGCCTCTTGGGGTCTCTTGGATCTTCTTGGGAGCCTCTAGGGGCCTCTGGGTGCCTCTTGGGGGGCCTCTTAAGGCATCCTGGGGCCCCTCGGGGCTGAGGGCTCGAAATGTCCATTCGGGTCCCCCATCTGGGCCCCCTCTTGGAGCCGTCTTTCGGGCCTCTTGGGCCGTCTTGGGAGCCTCTTGGGCCATCTTGGGGTCCACTTGGGCCGTTCGGGGGCTCTCTTGGAGGCCTCTTGGGCAGTCTTAGAACCATTTTGGGGACCTCTAGGGCCGTCTCGGAGCGTCGGGAAGCCGAAGAAACGGCGAGAACGCCCAAAACCTTCCAACGCCAACAGGGAACCAATGTTTCTGGCCTCTTGGGGCCCTCTTGGGAGGCCCCTTGGAGGCATCTTGGAGGGTCTTGGAGGCCTCTTGGGCCGACTTGGGGCCACCTTGGACCGTCTTGAAGCCATCTTGGGCGTCTTAGGGGCGTCCGTCTGGCGACTTAGGGCCCTCTTGGCCCGTCTGGAAGGCCTCTTGCGGCCCTCTTGGCCCTACGGCCGCTTCTTGGGGCACCGAAAGTCATGCGGGAGACGCGCCACGGCCTGGAGGGCACGCTGCAAGTCCCAGGAGGTTTGGCAATGTGGGGCTGGAAGGACCTAAGGGCACGCCCATTCCGTGCCCAGCGGCGCGGTAGCGGATATCGATACCGTTGCACATACATACATACATGCATACCTACCTACCTACCTACCTACCTACCTACCTACCTACCTACCTACATACATACATACATACATACATACATACATGCATGCACACATACCTACATACATACATCGTGCCTACCTACCCACCGACCACCACCCTGCCTACCTACCTACAGACATCCGTGCATACATGCATGCATACACACATACATACATACGTACATACACACTGCAACACATACATACATGCATACATACATACGTACACACATGCACACATACACACATACATGCACGCATACATGCATACCCACATACTTACATGTTTGACTGCGTGCATATATATACATATATATACACACGTATACGTACATACATCACCACATTCAACTATGCATGCATACATTCATACATACATACATGCATGTATGCATGTGCATACTTGCATACGTGCATAAATACATGCAACCCCTTAACACGTACGAAGACACGCACACACATATAAACATACGCATGCATGCATGCAACAATACATACGTACACATACATGCATACACGTATACCCATTAACACATATAGAGACATATTCATACATACAGACAGACATGCATGCATGCACACCTACATACAGCCATGCACACAAACATGCATACATACATACACACCCATACACACATGCACACACCCATGCATACATGCATGCATATAAACATACATGCACCCATACATACAGACATCCATCCATACATACATACACCCATACGTACGTACATACATACATACATACATACATACATACATACATACACACATACATACATACATACACAGATACATGCATGCACACATACATGCACGCACACACTTACAAACATATAAGCAACCATATATCCACATCATACATATAGATATGCATACAAGCCAACATACACACACCTACACATACATACATACACACATACATGCATACACCAAAGCATACATACATACATACATACATACATACATACATACATACATGCATGCATGCATGCATGCATACATACATACATACTTGCATACATACATACACATGTGTATATACAGTTGTGTACCTTCGGCCCATCCCGCCACTGTGCATGTGTTGCGGGTCAGGGTTCTCAGGTATGTGGTGTCGGATCTCTTTGGAGCGCTCTCGGGGGCCTCTTGGGAGCAGTTTGTCGGCCTTTTGGAAGCCTCTTGGGGCCTCTTTGGGGCCTCTTGGGGCATCTTTGGGGCCCCTTGGGGCCTCTTGGCGCAGGAGGAGGAGGAGGAGGAGAAGTGTGCGTGTGTGTGTGAGTGAATGAGTGACGGACCCGTCACTCACACACTCACACACACACATTCCTCCTCTTCCTCATCTTCCTCCTCCACCTCCTTCTCCGCCTCCTTCTCATGATTATCGTCATCATGTTCTTTATCCACGTTTTTCTCATCGTTTTCCCATGCGTCCTCCTGGCGGCGATGCCACCGCAATAGTCGGCCACTGATCGGACGACCTCGAAGACAGATGAAACCACAAGGGCAATCACCAAAAGTCTCTGGAGACCTCCGACCCACCCAGACACCCGGCTGCTCAAATGTTTTCGATGCGTAGGCCCCGAAGGTCTGAACCGTTTTCCCTAGGGCTGTTTTTTCGTGCCGAGGCGTTTTTTGACAGTCCCGAGGCCCGGCGAGGGCCCCCAGAGGCCGAAGACGGTCAAAACCCCGCCGCTCCAATTCCGTTGGCGCGTCGGATCTTTGGGTCCCCCCGTCCCGAAACCGTCCAATTTCATCGTCGCATCCCTCCCGCTGCTGACCCGCAGCACCCTCCCTTGCGGGTAATACTTCTGTCTATATCCACTGCAGTATGGAGTTTCGGGCTCCCTTCCCAAGAAGCCCGAGGCGCACTGGATATGGATAAATTTGCCACCTAGAGGCCCGATGTGTATCCATATCCAGCGCGCCTCGGCCTTGTGGCGCCGCTTCCAAAAAAGTCCAAGAGGCACCCAGGTAGCTCCTTTTGTTTGCGTCTGTCTGTCCAGGGGGGCAGGATCTGTCCACCCCAGCCGGCGCCTACAGTAAGCAGCAACTGCATCGTGGTGTGACCCGAACTCGTTTTTGTTTGAGTCCTCGGCCGGAGTTTCGGCCACGTTCGCAGGACAGCCTTGCGACACACACGAGTCGTGTATAGTATCGCCGTCCGCTCCCATCTCCTGCTCCTCCAAAAAAAAGAGTCCAAGATCGGCGGCGGGCGCGGGGGGGAAATGAGAAGGGGCGGGACTTCCGAGGCTTCTGAGAAGTTTCTGGACTTCTTAGAGGGCTTCTGAGAAGTTCTGTCTGTGTTCGAAATAGGCCAAGGAAACGTCTCAGAAGCCCCCCGGACTTCGAAGAAGTCCCGCGGCCTTCTGAGAAGGCCTTCTCCTTCTCATTTCCCCCCTGGGCTCGTCGCCTACAAGAGGCACTGGATATGGATATGAGTCTTGCACGCACCCCTGCCCAGTGGCCTCGCCCTCCCCGGGCCCCCCCCCGCCCCGCCCCGGAAGGCGCAGAGGCCGACGTGGTTCGCCTCGCACTGCTGGTCGGAGGAGACGGCAGGGGGGGCCTGCTGCGAGCAGCAGAGGAGGGGGACGCGGCGGAGGCAGGCGGACAGGCCGGAGGAGACAGGGAGGAGGAGGAGGAGGAGGAGGAGGAGGAGGAGGAGGAGGAGGAGGAGGAGGAGGAGGAGGAGGAGGAGGAGGAGGAGGAGGAAGGCTCAGAGACAGGGAGGAGGAGGGTACCGATATCGCTGCCTTTCCATCGTTTCCCCTTTCGGGGGGCCTCCTGGGAGGCCCTCGTCGCCGCCGCTGGATGCGCTGCGAAATTCTGGTCAGAGCGCACCCAGGGAGAGGCCCTGGGAGCAGCGGTATCGGCACCTTTGGGTTTCCCCCAAGGCGGCAGAAACGGAGGAGAAGAAGGAGTCGGGAAGGGGGAGGGGGAGGAGCAATCTGGAAGGACAGGAGGATGAGGAGGAGGAAGAGGAGGGGAAGGGACCAGGACGGGGAGAACGAGGAAGAGACGGACGGGGAGGAGGAAGAGAAGGAAGAGTAGGAGTAGGAGGAGGGGAATGGAGACGGAAAACGAGGGGGAGATGGATGGGGAGGATGAGGAGGAGGACGAGGAGGGGACAAAGGAAGAGCAGAGGGAGGAGAAAGAGGAGGGGAGGAGGACCGGCGGCAGCAGCATGAGCAGCAGGAGATCAAGAGATCAGGGAGGAATCCTGTGGCCGAAGACGAAGACGATGACGAGAGAGGATTAATGTGCATATCATGTCCAGTTCACGTATCCATATCTACTGCTAAGAGTAAGGTGTTCAAATAGAGGTATGCACCGAGAGAGATACAAAACACACACGCACCTATATGTACACATGTATCGTTATATACGTTTATATGCCCATAGCGCGAGACTGTTGTACATCATCTGTTTTTTGCCATGTGGGATATCACATCCATCTGTAGCGCACATGTTTGCGTATACCATGATATGTGGATTTAGATGACGAGATTTGCCAAGCGCGTGAGAGAGACAGAGAGGCCACGCAACGACGAAACATACACACATATGTATATATATATAGAGAGATAAAAAAAGAGACACACAAGCGCACACAAGCCACCATATACACATGAATCGAGCGATCAAACCATGAGACAGAGTGGAAGAGCAAGAGATAGCGAGGGAACAAGGTACACAGAGAGAGAGAGAGAAACAAACGACGAGAAAGGGTGTATGATAGAGGGACAGAACACATACAAGGACAGCAATACATATATATATATATGTAAGTATAGAGAGAGGCACTATAGAGAAAGAGAGAGAGAGAGAGAGAGAAAACAAAACAACAGCAAAGACAGAAAGAGAGAGAGAGAGAGACAGTGAGACAGAGAGAGGGAGAGAGAGAGAGAGAGAGAGAGAGAGAGAGCGAGAGAGCCGATGTGGGCGGGGATCCGCCCGGCCGCCAGGCGGCAGGCGGCCCGTGCGCCCAGCAGCACGTCGGGGCGAGGGCCGCCGAGGCCGCCCTCGGCGCACGAGCGGGGCCCCTCGGCGGATCGCCGGGCGGGGGCCCCGCGCCGCGGGCTGCCGAGGGCAGAGCGGCGCCGCGGCGGGGCGCCCCCCGCCGCCACGGGTGGGCTCCGCCACGGGGTGGCCTTCGCCGCGGGGGGGGCGTGGGCCGACGCCCACACTGCCGAGACAGAGTATTCTATGACGTGCTCAGGGTTGAATCACCACCCACCAAACCACCCCAACCCAACCCGAAGGCCTCAAATTGACCTCCATTTCCAGTGGGGGGGGGTCGGGGAACATCGAGAAAACACATATGGAACCCGTACCCCCCCCAACCCGAAATTCGGGTCTTCGGGTTGGGTTGGGGTGGTCTGGTAGGTAGTCAGAAGGTGTGCGCCGCTCGGAGCGGGCGCGGCTCTGCGAGGAGGAAGGGGAGCAGGAGCTGATAATTATCGCGACGTGTTCGCGGTGGCCTCTGTTTCCCCGCCACGGCCGCTGCTGCGGCCTGACCCAGTGGCCGGGTCTCCTCTGGAAGCATCTGGGGCCGCAGCGGTTCCCGACAGCGTCGTACAGCGCGAGGTGCTGGCGTCCCAGCGCGCGGGAGCAATCTCCTCGCCGGGTGGCGTTGACCCGCTCCCTGGCGGAGGGGCAGGGCGGGGCGCGGCCTGCGAGCCGGGCAGGACCACCCGCGGGCAAAGCCGGGGGGCGAGGCATGTGGCGCGGGGGCACACCTCTGGCCGGGCGGTTGGCTCGACCCGCCGCGGGGCGCAGGAGCGCGAGCGGCGAGGAGCTCGCGGGGGGTGGCCGCGAGGTCGGGCGCAGGCTGGGAGGCCGACCCTGGCCTCCTCCCAGTCTGCGACGAGGGCAGGGCAGGGACAGAGCATCGGCCTGGGGCAGATCCGAAAAATCGCGGAGCGCCGCGCGTCGGGCCGTGGCCGCTCTGCGAGCGCTCCATGGGGCGCTGGGCGGCCGGCGCGTGGCCCGCCGGACGGCCCCCTGCTGGGCGGGAGGCAGCTCAATTGCGGCAGTGGCCCCCCGCGACTGTGGGCTTCAGGTGCCCGCGTTTGGCCAGGCAGGGCGACCGTGCGCAGGTGCGGGCGCCCTGTGTACGCGAGGCCATGGCCGCCTGCCTGGTCCAGAGCTCCTCGGGGGGGGGGGCGGGGGGCGCCCTTCTCGGGGGCAGCGACAGGGGGGGGACGGGCATGGGCGGGGCGGGGTGCATCGACCTCCAATCGCCCAGTGATCGCCGATGGGGGCCCGATGGCGCCAGCCTCCCCAGAAAGGCGCGCACTCACTGCCGGAGGCCCATCGCCTCTCTATCGGCGATGCATCGCCGATTCCAGGTCGATGTTTTCCCCCTCCCTGGCCCGATCCCCCCCCTGTCGCTGCCTCTCATCCTCGTGCGTTCCAGTGAGGAGGAGGAGGGGGAGGAGGGGGAGGAGGAGGAGGAGTTACGGTCCTGCGCACCAGGGTGCGTCCGCCACGCGCGAAACCTAAAATTTCGGGCGCTTGGGCCATATGGAGGAGGCTTTCGCGGGCGAGCGCCAGGCAGCCACTGGACCCTCGGTTTCCGAGGCAGGCTGCGGGCGACGACGAGGCGGGCCTGCTGCGCACTGCGAGGACGAGCGCTCCCCCGCATGTCAAGGATGTGGCGCTGGCCCTGCTGCACACCGGGAGGATACGCGAACTCTCCCACAGGGCCCCACAAGAGCATCCCAAAACACGCTGCACACTGCGAGGGCAAGGAACTCTCCCGCAGGCCCAGGCCTGTAGCACAGCGACCTCGAAGCACTGCGGTGCCGCGCTTCGCACGACGCACTACGAGCCAACGTCGCCAGGCGGTTTTCCGAGCTGCGTCCGCCCCGTAGGGCTCAGATAACGACACCCTTGCGCCGCCCCAAGCCACCCGAGGGGGCGCCACTTCCCACGGGCGACTCCGCACCCCCACGCACGCCAGGACGGGGCACCCTGGCCGTGGGAGGGATGGGTGCGGGGTCCACCGATGAGCCCCCCGCAGGGGACCCGTTCCTCCGCCCAGGCGCACGCGGTGTACGTGCCGGGCCACCGCGAGGAGGGAGCTGGCGACGAGATGCAATTTTCTCTCCCCCTGGCCCTCACGGGCAAGCAGGGGTGACGAACGGGCTGCTACCCGCCTGTTTTGCTCCTGGCCCCAGGAGGAGGAGGACCAGGAGGAGGGAAGGAGGAGGAGGAGGAGCAGGAGGAGGAGGAGAAGGAGCGGGAGGAGGAGGAGAAGGAGGAGGGGCGAAGAATGAGGGAGAAATGGACAAGGGGAGGAGGAGGGACAACGGAGGAGGAAGGGGGCAACAATGAGTGAGTAGGACAGGCGGTGGGCGAG